GTAACCTACAAATTTTTTTATCTGTGACCTGAAAATAATACGTGACCTACAAAAAATTTTATCTGTGACTTCGAAATAATCCGTGACCTACAAAATTTTTGATCTGTGACCTCGAAAAAATCGTCGGATCGGAGCAGTCGTCGGAATTAAAGTGCTATCGGAGTAGTCGGAGCAGTGGGGTGGGGTGGGGTGGGGTGGAATAATTTTATTATATTACAGTTAAATATTTAATTTAATATAATAATTCTAAAATGTAATTAATTAATTCAAGAAAAACCTGAATTTTGTAAATTAAAACTTTGGGATCTGATTTTTAATTTCATGAAAGTAAACCCCTGAACCATAAACTTTTCCCTTGGTATTTGGGGTTTAGGGGTGTGCGTGGGTTGGGTCGAGTTGGTTTTTGCCCCAAACCAAACCCAACCCAATATGATCGGTTTGATTGAAATTCAACTCAATCCAACCCATATAAAGATTGAAACTCAACCCAACTAAATGTCGGTCGGGTTGGCCTGTTTGGGATAATATGTCAACAAATATTAAAGTCACAAAAATTTTCACTACTCGAAGCGCTCCAGATCATTTAATCGTCACTATTCACTCACATCTTCACTTTTCAAGCTCATCCGCTATTCTCGACCTCTCAATAAGCTAAAAAGATGCAGTCTCAGTCACGAATGACACCAATTCATCAAATCTGATTCAACCATACAGAAACAAACCAAGTATTAATTGTTAATTAGGTAAACATTAATCGTCTAGGCTACATAACATAATCAAAGATAGTGATAACGTATATGCATTACAAAATTGAAACCAAACCAGACGTAAAACATCAATTAAGCAAAGAAATATTTTGAAAATAAAATAACTACTTACTGCTAAAAGCAATCCCAGAAGAGGCAACAACACATGTTTGAACATACCGCACTTTTCGAGCATCGGCTTCAACATACCGCACTTTTTGAGCACATGCTTCCATGCCTTAACAATGGCGAATCCAAGGAGGCCGCTGCCACATTAAGCGAAGTAATCACTGCGTGGTGAGATTGAGTTCACATACAATAATATTGAAAACAAAACTCAAAATAATACTCGTAAAAGCAGCTCTCATTGTTATCTGCTTATGCCATGGCAGAACCTCTACATCCTTGAACACCTTTTCTATCTCCAATCCATTATTTTTATCTCCTCCATCTATTTAACTGAATCCTTGTTCTTATTCTTCCGCTCTCTCCCTCATATTGCTTATTCTTAACGATTGTTGAGAGACGGAGGGAGAGAGAGAGAGAGAGAGAGAGAGTTGGAAGTTGGAATAATAAAGTTAGGGTTGAGTTTTGTGTTCTGTGTGGGCCTCACTATTTTTTAATTTTTTTAAATTAAGCGGGTCGGGTTAACTCGATTTTCATGGGTCAACCCATGAACCAACCCGCTTCTTAACCCAAGACTCGAACCCAGCTGAAAATCACAAAAAATCGACCCAAACCGATCGGTTTGGGTCGAGTTGGGTGGTTTTGGTGGGTTGGTTTGGGTTTTGTCCACCCCTATTTGGGGTGGGGGAGTGGGATGGAGTGCGGGTGGGTTAGGGAAGAAAAAGAATTATCCCTAATTCATTTGGACTCCTTCGTACTTTTTAAAAATATTTAGGGCTACAGTTGAAATTAATTTTTAATTTTTTTTCTTCTTTTATTTGAATGAAATGTTATACTTGTTGTTTTACAATTTTTTATTGAGAAAATTGACGGAGGGAGTATTCCGCACTAAAAGTTTCGAATATAGACGTTTTGTGCTATTTTAAAAAGTATGGAGGGTTTTCGGCAATATGTCCAATAGGTAGGAGGGTTTTGTGCTATTTAACCTTTAACTAATGTTATACAGGACACAATCAGTACTAATTCACATTCAATCGAGTTATATGCAAAAATAATTTAATAGATAAAAACCTTTATTAAAATACAAAACTAGTGTTTTCACCTGCAAAATCAAGTGAATCGGACGGATTTGATTGATAAAATTAATTTTTATAAGAGAATTTGACTTTTGACCCTTATCCGGGCATCTTTTTTTGTGTTAATCTTCTAAGCAAATTTAAAATACCGAATTTAGAATTGTTATCTCTATTTTTAATTATGCTTTTTTATTGTCTTTATTCTCTACATAAAAAAAAACACACACACACATAGACACAAACAATCATATTGTAAGTACATCAAGTTTGAGTTGACATATTTTTAAACATTGATATTAACTAGTGTTCTAAAAGGCGCGTCTAGACGTGGTCAAAACGTCAAGTCTAATGGGTTAGTGTCTTATTTGGCGGTCAATGACAGTTGTTGACCGCTAATAATTGCGCCTAGGCGCGTTTTTTTTTTTTTACAATTATTTTGAAGTTAAAAATTATTAAAT